TGCAGTCGCATAGTACATTTTTTTAGAGAAAAAATCTGATTTCCTTATATGATTTCAACTATTGTGAAAACAAATATGGAGACTTCTTTTAAAGGTCTAGGGCCATCCAAAACTGATTATTACGTATTATAACATATTCTAAGAGATTTTGGGAAGCATAGGAGGAGGCAAGAACTCTAAGAACGATTCCAATATGCGAAGATTCAATTAAAGCTTTATTTAGGTAATGTCGATTCTTCAATTTTTATTTTGTTTTCTTCTTCATAACATGCTAGACTGGTTTTCTTTGTGCTAGAAGAATGATGAACCATGTAATATGAGTTTTTAATCTTTAATTTTACATATTTGATATTGAAAACACGTTTTTTTATATTGAATGATTTATATGATTTTTTTTTTCTCCACAATTATTGTGTATGGTAGTTGTGTGAATTTGATGTCTTATTTTATGCATTCGAAAGAAGGGAAATATGTTTGACATATATAAATTGTCATAGGGCCCGATAGGGGATAGAAATATACCGCTATTCTCTATGTGAATTTTTAAATGTCTATAAAAATTCATGCATTCTTGTATTTTCGCATTCGTCATAGAAATATAGGTGGGTCATTTATGAGAGTATGTTTAACATTACTCGAGAGATATTGTTAAATAAAACAGGAACATTGATTTGTTAAAATTTAATCGTATTGTCAAAGTGTAAAACTAAGGTTAAAAATGATTATTGTATGGGAATTTGGGATCCTAGTGCATTTGTCATTTATTAAACACATCAATTTGCATTTAGTACAATTTGCATGTAGTTTAGTTAATTTACTTGTAATTGTATTAGTAGATTAATTTATTCATAATTTTGTCACAAACAACACATTATATTATTCTTGTTTCGGTTAAGGTTACGATAATTATAATTAAACTAAATCAATCTCCGTGGGACGAAACTGGAACTCAACTCCACTTTATTACTTGTTAACGAACCGTACATTTGTGGTAATTTTAATTCGAAATATACTTTCGTGAGCACTATTCATCATGCATAACTGATTCAGTTTTAATTATAACACATTGGTGGTTTTCTCTTTTAGAATGTCCTGAACAATTTTATTTGATAGATGAAGATGAATTTGAAATAGATCATTTCGATCCTTATGTTGTTTTTCCTCCTGCATCTAAATTGAGAGCAGCTTATCGAACCCTAACAAAGCATCATTCAAGTCCATCTGAGCGAGCACTACTCGTATCTTCACCTATCATAATGAAAATCTAGTATTGCAATCCAAATGTGGAATATTGAATTTCATAGTTTCCATAGCAAAAAAAAAACCTCGCTTAGATACCATTTTGTTATACATAAATGAGAATTGACAATACAAAAATATAAGAACAAGAACACAAGATTTACATGAAAACTCAAGATGCGAAACCACAATTAGAGAAAGAGAAAATTCTCTATATCAAAAAGTGGTCATAAAAGTTGAATGCTCTCAAGAGATGTAATTACTCCTAATATATATAATACAAAGAAGAGTCTAACATATGATGGAGTCCTAATATAACAGGCCTAACAAATAATTGAGTGTTTGAAATAGAATAGAAGTGAAAAAACTATCAAAATCGCGACTAAGGTTTGCACCAGATAACACCACCGCTCGAACGGTGGTCTCGTGATTAGCAAGCAGTGTATCCACCGCAGGAATCCCAGGGCGTAGCCAATGAGCGGTGATGTTGCTGAGAAAATGCTCGAGCCCCATCTATACGATTGGCAGCTCATCTTCAAGCGATTTCTTCTACTTATCCGTCTTTGACTTCTTCAAGACATACTATCAACTCCTTATAGAACTCTCTATAGAATTCGGGGTCACACCAGAACTCTAACACCATTGTTTACTAATCCTCATGCAGACTTGGTAACTCCTAATTCTCTCATTGTACATAAGAGATGATCTTGCTCTACTACAAATCATTTTCTAGCACCTCCTAATCCCCTCTAGGTCATCCCCCGACTGCTAAACATGTTTTGACAACTACACATGCCCTTCGACACAGTCATCGGGTTCGTAGATCCCTAGATAAGTTTGGTTTCACTCCTCATTTATCCTTGATACTTACATTGTCTTTTATTCCTATTCCATTGTACTATAATTAGGCCGTAAAGCATGAGTGTTGTCAGAAATCTATTGAAACAAAATTTCTTGAACAATTGCAATTGAAGAAAATCAGACTTGGGATGTTGTTCCATCCCTCCATCCGTGAAACCTATTGGTTTCTCAGACCATTACAAAGCTCGCTTGGTAGTTATTAGCAACAAACAATAGTATGGCCTGGACTATGATAAGACATTCGTACATATGGCAAAGATGACAACCTTGTGGACAATTCTAGCCTTTATTGTATCTAAATACTGGCCCTTATATCAAATGGATATTAAGAATACATTTCTATACGGTGATCTCAAGGAGGAAATATACACGAAACTTCCCTCTTGTATGCTTACTTCCTCACCTACTGATGTTTATAAGATTTGAAATAGACAAAACTAGGGAATGGTTGAAAAATTCCAAATCACTCTCCTTGGTTTTTTGTTCATTTAGAGTCAATAATACTCATCTCTTTTCCTACAAAGGAGTTATAATGGCATAGTTGTCATCGTTGTTTATGTGGACAACATCATTGTCACTGGTTCAGATATGGTGACCATATCCATGATTTAAAAATTACTACATTCTAGTTTCCATATGAGACCTTGGCCAACTCACCTATTTTTTAGGGTTAGAGGTACTCCGCCAACCTCAGGATCTCTTCTTAAATCAGACAAAGAATACTCAAGATTTGGTTCAGTTCAAAAAGCTTGCAAATACTACTTCTATGGACATCCCTATAGAAATTAATATGAAATATAGGTGTGTAACTAAGGAGAGCTCATTGAGGATCCCACTCGCTATCAAAAGCTGAGGATTACATCTGTCGAAAGCTAGTTGGTAGTCTTATCTATCTAACCATCACCCGACCAGATGTCTTTTATGTTGTCTACACCGTCAGCAAGTTCATGCAAATACCACGACATCTCCACCCAGTCGTTGTCCGTTGAATCATTCGATACATCATTGGTACACCTAATCATGTCTTATTCTTCCCTATTGGATCTTCACTCTAGCTGCATGCCTACATTGATGCTACGGCTGCCCGAACATTAGGAAATCTACTATAGTTGGTGATGATCTCATCTCTTGAAAATTCAAGAAGCATGTCTGTATCTCCAAAGCATCTATTGAGGCAGAGTATAGCACCATGTCCTTTGTCTGCTCCGAGATCATTTGGCTGCTTGGTCTCATCACAAAACTTGGTTGCTCTAAGGTTCAACCTTCTCACTGTATGCTCATAACACCACTTTTATCCAAATTGCAACAAACCCTGTTTATCACGAGTGTATGAAGCACATAGAGGTTGACTATCACTTCATTCGAAATACATTTGATTGCAAGGTTATCACCCTCCCACACATTTCCACTACTCTACAGCTTGCGAATATTTTCTCCAAATCCATGACCCATCGCACCATCATTTACTTGTTAGCAAATTGATGATTGTAAATCTATAGACATCAATTTGAAGGGGATGTTAAAGGACTGTAAATTACTATAAATCAGCAAGCTGTAAATCAAGGCTATAATTTCTATAAATCAGCATGTAATCGGGATGTAAATAAGCTTTTAGGGCTGCAAATTACTATAAACCAAGACTGTAAATCAGGGTTATAAATCATCTCTAATGATTGTAAATTAGGATTGCAAATCAGCTTGTATATTTTCTATATAAAAGGTATTCTCTTATAGGAGAGAAGATAGTTTTCTCACAAAAAATAAAAATAAAAATACTCTATTTTGTCAAAAGCTGGTATAAATAGTGTACATTTTCACAATGCAAGAGATGTCGATTTGAAAACCGCACAAGGATAATTGACGATTTTCCATAGTTCTAATTTGCCAAAAAACTAATATGAATAATTGAATATATATTTTTGTGACTTTAATTTATAATCTTTGTTGTTTTGGTACAACGATGAACATGAAAAGTAATTTGTTTTACTTGGACATTCTTGGAGTTTTTGAAAATAATTGTTTGACATCTCAATAGCAAGAAATAATCGTTTTACAAGGACGATAAATGTATGTTTTCTGACATCCGATGGTCCCATGTATTAAAATAACAATCATGTTTACATAGAGGTGTCAGTGTGGGCGGTTCGGGCCGGGTCGGCCCGCCAACATATGAACCCAGTAACGGCCCGCGTGAAAAAAGCACGCCCGCTTTAGGTTCCGGGTCGGCCCACAAATTTTGGACTACAAACCAGACCCGCCAGCTGACCCATCCGGATCGAGCCCATGTGGGTCACGGG